GATACTAACAAAACCAACAATCTTTTTTTACAATCATTTCTCCTCCAAATTTATTTTCTTAATTCATTATTTATTCTTATATTTAAAGTGGTAATAGTATTGGTGCATAGGGTGCAAAAGATTTAGGCACAGGAATAGCGTAGTGCAAGAATATCACAAGTTTGACACTTTAGATATAGTAAAAACTTAATTTATTGATTGATAAAGCAAGAAATTTTGAAAAAATTGATTATTTTGTTGATTTACGCTTTTCACTTAGTGATTAGCTAATTAAGTCACTTCGTTAGTAAGCAAGTTAGTTAGTTATTTATTGTTTTATTAGATTGCTTTTTTAATTACTTACTGACTTACTGACTTACTTACTCCTCAACTAAAAAATAATCAATTTGTTAACTTACTTACTTAGTTAGTTAGTTAGTTAGTTACTTACTCCTTCAAAAACAAACGAAGATACTAACAAAACCAACAATCTTTTTTTACAATCCTTTCTCCTCTAAATTTATTTTCTAAATTCATTATTTATTCTTATATTTAAAGGGTTAATAGTATTGGTGCATAGGGTGCAAAACATTTAGGCACAGGAATAGCGTAGTGCAAGAATATCACAAGTTTGACACTTGATTTAAGGTAAAAACTTAATTTATTGATTGATAAAGCAAGAAATTTTGAAAAAATTGATTATTTTGTTGATTTACGCTTTTCACTTAGTGATTAGCTAATTAAGTCACTTCGTTAGTAAGCAAGTTAGTTAGTTATTTATTGTTTTATTAGATTGCTTTTTTAATTACTTACTGACTTACTGACTTACTTACTCCTCAACTAAAAAATAATCAATTTGTTAACTTACTTACTTAGTTAGTTAGTTAGTTACTTACTCCTTCAAAAACAAACGAAGATACTAACAAAACCAACAATCTTTTTTTACAATCATTTCTCCTCCAAATTTATTTTCTTAATTCATTATTTATTCTTATATTTAAAGTTCGAATAGTATTGGTGATGTGGATGCAAAAGATTTAGGCACAGGAATAGCGTAGTGCAAGAATATCACAAGTTT